ACAGTCTTTTTCTTTCAAAGTAAAAAGCACTTAGTAGACAATAAATAGAAGTTCCTTTATAAATATGATCGCCCGTTTAATTTTACATGAAAATTTCAAGTGATGTAACTTTTCTATATATTTCATTGCTAAATTGTTCTCAAAGTTACACAACAAATAATAAATTAGTTCTGTTATTTCGGTCATATAAACAGAAACAATACATGGGGCCTTGAAGATATTGAAAAGACATCTTTGAGTTCATACAGCATTTTATTCTTCCAACTGGGAAGAACTGTTAATCAAGTCCCATTAAGTGACACCTTCAGGGAAGAGGACCAACATATCTAACGTGCTCGGAGCTTTCCCAGTTTTAGCACTGAAAGTCCTGCATCCGGGGACCCCCTCAGGGCCGGGAAAACCTGGAGGATTGATCACTCTACAACCTCAGGGTACCACATAAATGCGTCATTATGTCTTTTAACAAAGTGTATTAAAATATGGGCATTTTATAATAAATTGGAGATGAGCACATTATAAAGTATGATTTTAAAGTATTTGGGCAGCTAAGCAAAAAGAAATTATAAAGCTCTATATAATCACACTTAACCAAGAGAATGTTGCTGAGAACATCAAGTTTGTCAAATTCTTCATTGTGATGATATTCACTATGTGCACCAGCATTCACATTCACCCAGCTAAGAAAAAGGCTCCGAACAGCACACATATATTTAACACACTGGACATTACATCTACATATAAAGCAGAGATGCTATGGAAGGAAAAGAATGAGAATCAACTTTCACCCAAGAATTTTAAAGTATCTCATCTCTGAAATGGTGGAAAAGTCTAATTTTGATGTCTCACTTTTGTGGTATCATGACAGGTCAAAAACTCTTGTAAAAGAGTAAAAACAGGAAACCTGTAAGTTTAAAGAACTTAGACATACTCTCAAAGGTCCTTTCCTGCTTGAACATTCCATGACTCAAGGCATCACTGTGCGACCCCTTTACTTGAATAGATGAAGTAAGTCAGGCCAGAGAATTACACCATTCCAAGGGCCCAGCTCTGGCTTGTTTGGAGCCTGAACTATTTTTTAGCCATGCTCTCACCTTAAGTATGCTTAGAAACACTTAAAACCAAAAAAAGCATATGGTCAGCAGGGAAAGATAAATGACACATTTCACCTCAGGTCGGGTATTTCGCTTAGTTTAGAGCACAAACAGTTAAATTGACCTCAAGTTTAAAAAGAAGAACTTTGAGTTCAGAAATTCTTTAAGCTTTCATTAGCTACTTCAACCATACAATTGCACAATATTCTGAATATACCAGGGGTGCCAAAAAAAATGTGCTCATCTTAAGAGATGTTATCTATGTATTACTTTTCAAGTTGAATTGAATTATGGTAGCAATGTGTAGTATGATGTTCACTTAAAAGATTGCGTCAATCAAATGAATGCTAGTGTTATTCATTGTATTAATATTACAATTTTAATACAGTTTTTTCCTTTCTTAAATGTATACAATTTTTTTGGCACCCTCTGTATATAGTACTTATTTTCATGAACTCTCTAAGTAGGCCAAAGAAATGAATACAGTTAACTTAAAAAGAGAACAACTTGAGGGCCAGCAGAGTGGCCGTTGGTTAAGAGCTGGCTTGGGATGCCAGAGGGCCCCGGTTCGGATTCCACATATGAGGGCCAGTGACACTGCCCTCCACAGCTAAGATGCTGAACAACAGGTCAACCTGGAGCTGGGCTGCTGTGAGTCACCAGCGACAGCGTAGGCTGCAGCCCCTGTGGCAGTGGGTAGTCATGGGCTACTGTGTGTAGCCAGCAGCCAGCGTGAGCAGCCAGCAGCCGCAGTGAGCGGCCGTCCAGAAGCCGGCGACTGATCTGCCTCGCCCGGGAAGAGTGCAATGATGGTGCCAACTTGGGCCAGTGAAGCAATGTCCTCCACAACTAGACTGAAGAACAAAAAGACAGCAACTTGTCTGTTCCCCTTCCCCCAATTCCCCAGCGCTGTTCCCATCCCCCAATTCCCCAATTTTAAAAAAAAAATCTTAAAAAGAAAAGAGAACAACTTGAAAACTACAAACATTTTTGTAGTTTGAAGGACCTTCAAAATTCACAAAACAACTTTCATAACAAATTACTGCTGTGGTCCAGTTGTCCTAGCCTCAGGGTCTTGTAAGCAAAACAAACAAGTCCATAGTTCAAGGAGGGCCACTAACAAAAAGGAAGCTTGGTGTTTCTTTATTTTGACAACTTTATTCTTATCACTGAGATTACAAAAGAGTACAGAAACCTACAGGTATTTTCTGTTCAATCAGTATGTTCCTTAATCTGGAAAGGCCCCCAAATGAGATAAACACAAAAATCTGCTGCCTTCAAGGGGAAAGGCGGATTGTTCTAGGGAGCAGGTGCACACTGAGCTGTTTCTCAGCCACAGGGAATTTATGTTGATTCAGCTGTATACCAGCCCTGTGCCTCCATAACCAATGGCACTGACCACTCACATAGGTTTAGGGGTACCATCTACGGCTGTGATGCTGACCAAAGCTTGCAGATTCACGCTGCTCTACCCTGGCTTCATGGGACCCCCTTCTAAGAAGAGGCAGCAACATATACTCTTTGGCAGAGTATATACTCTGCCAAAGGCCAGGGCTGCTGTGCTAAGGGACCTTGGACAAATCACTGAAATCTCCCAGGCTGTTTCCTGTTTTCCTTATCTGTTTAATGGGGTTAATAAACTCACATATTATGTATCTATAAAACCAAACTAAAAAGAAATATATTAATATTTGAAAGAACTTTATAAATTATAAAGTGATAATACATTATTTAACCAGCTGAGTTGGCAAAAGACTACATCTCTGAATAACAAAACTGCCTCCTGGGGATATATATGTTCACATAAAATGTCACAAAAGTCTGTTAGGATTTAAATACACAATAAATGGTCATGAAATACACAAGTCAAGTAAGTAAAGCACTATAACATATATAGATAGAATCCTTTCAGTATTATAGCAATTAGAATGCTCTAGGACTTGAACCTCATGCTGGAAATCACATAGGTGATTCCTTTAATACCAATTTTATACATGCCCTCATAGGCTTTCAAGATAAAGATGCTTGTTAACCATGAATTATGTGTAAGTTCACGTCCCCAATACTTCAATGAAAACACTTTTTACTTGTATGCATTTCAATCTAAAATGCCCAGATCAACACTGCTCTCCAGGTACAGCCAGCCATATTTATTTACATAAGAGTGGAGTGAAATGAAAAAACCCCACTATTATCCACAGCTATCTACCACTACAAAGAAAAAGCAGAATGAAACAAAACTAAAGGCAAACAGTACTTTTCCAAACACATACAACATGTTCTTTAAAACCCCCTCAGTTTCTCAAACTCACAAATACCGAAAGTAACAAAAATACCCTTTTCAAACACAGAGGATGACTGTATCAACTAAAGTAACCAAAACTCTTGGATGAAATGTTTACATTAAAATTCAGTAACTGGACTAATTTAAAAATTAAATTTGGCAATATGAAATCTGTCCAATATAATTTGGAACTGTGAGTGAAAATAAGGGTATGAGAAATACACTAAGTATTTTTGTCTCTTGGAGACTTGCTAAAATTCTTGCAGTAGGAAAGCCTGCAAATGTCATGAAATAAAACCTTTGAAACTTGTGATTATATTTTAATTTGCTTAAAAGTTTTAAGTTTAGTCAATCTCTATCTTAAATCCTTATTTTAAACGAGTACACTTGCCCTAAATTTTTCTAACGGACCTAATATTTTCTTACAACAAAATCAGACTACTGTGGGATACAGGTAATCTTTTTAAAGATTACATAACTTCTTTCTAAAAGATGTGGACGTCTGCAGCTAAATCAAAAACAATGTAGCAGAAAATAGAAATGAAACAGCTAGGAATCCATTTTTAACAAAGATAGAAATTATTCTTCGTTTTCTGAGAGCTGTATCTCAGGAATAACTTTTCAATTCATCAGAATTATCAAATAGTAAACACTTCATGTTAAGCCAAAGTAAACCAGGTGAGTCATTTTATAACATATACAGAACAACCTGCAGTAAAGGCAAGGAAGGACAAGAACTAAACGTTTTAAAGGTTAACCTTTTCATTCTCTTAATATTTTCCAGGTTCAGTTGAGGTGTGGTGCATCAAACTCTGGATCCCGTGGAAACGTCTTTATCTCAACTACCAGGACCCTTGTCAGTTCTATTCAAGGGGCGAGCGGGGGAGGGGGGGTACCTATCTGAATACAAGCTCTGAAAAGCCAGCCATAATACCCAATTTACAACCAACCAACCACAGTACAGAAAATTCAAGAAAGCAAGGCTTCCACCACCCCGCCCCACCTTGCTCCATTTTTTTTTTTTTTTTGCTCATTTCCATTCTTTGGTTAACTTTCAAGGTAAAAGAGGAGAAACCTGTTGGAATGGATTTTTTACAAGATAAATAACTACAGATGAAGGAGAAAAAAGTTGCTCTAAGGAACCCATTCATTTACATAAATCCAAAAGATACACCCACGTGTATTCCAGTGGAGACGCAACCTGTGATTTGCAGAGAAGATGGGATCTAAGTCAAATCCCAGAGACGGTTTCTCTCCCAAGGGAAAAAAATAATAATAATGTGGCTCTTCACTCAGGCACCTTCCGAAACGCGAGCTCCGCAACTCGCGAGGTGAGGACATTCGGATGAAGCCCTGCCACTCACCAGCGCAGCATCTCCCGGAGGAGGCAGGGCTCGGGACGGGAATCCCACCCACAGCCCGTTTTACTAATCAGGAAAGAGCAAACAGCCCCAGGCCGGGCCCCCACCCGGACACCGAGGAGACGACACAGCAGAACCGTGGAAGGGAACAGCGGGCGGGCGGAACGAAGCCGCCCAGCGCTGGACCCGGGAGGGAGCGCGGCGCCCCGGGGGCGGCGGCGGGCGGGGGCGCAGTGAGGGCGCCGGGAGGGGCCGCAGGCTCACCTGGCGCGGGGCGACGCCGGACGCGTGCTGTGTCTCCGCCGCCTGTGCCGCTTCTCGGCTGCGGGCCACAGCGCCCCCGTGCAGCCGGAGTGGCCGCAGCTGCCAGCGCTCGGGTTCCCCCGCCCCCGACTCCGACTTCGACCCTGTCGCGCCGGCTCCTCCGAAGGCGCCAGCAGCTGCAGGCAGCGCCTCAGCACTCGCCACTTCACCATCCTTCGGGCGAGCCGTCGCCGGGCCCGCGGCCTAGCCGGCGCCCCCGGGCTACGCGGGGCCCAGGGTTCAGCTGGGTTTGCCCCACGTTGTCCGCTCACTGACTCATGGCGACCTTTGAGTTGGAAAACCCTGCCAGCGTCAGCCTCCAGCTGGCTGCCGCTCCGGCCCTGACCAAGATGGCGGCCCCCGACGCCGAGTCCATCTTGGTGGAGGAGGCACACGCTTAGCCCACTCCCCGGCCGGCTCGCGCCTCGCAGACATTGCGGGAGCCCCCAAGTCCAAGTTAGTGACCCGGTCCTAAGCCAGAAGCTAACTTTCAGTTCACATGAACACCTTCCTGGACACCAGCCGTAATTGCTAAAACTAGGTGATCCTGGTGGCCTCACTTCCTGCGCAATTATAGAAGACAAGCACTGGTTGTAGCATACTTACAACCGATAGCACTATGAGCCTGGTAAACTGTAATCTGAAGCATAGAGTAATTGTTGAATATTAATGGCAGCACTGCCTTCTTAGTGTGCTATTTAACTTTTTAAAATAATGCCATGGACTCCTGGTATACAAAATTCTCAACTAAATTTGCTTTTTAAAAAAATTCAGATGACAAGAGCACAAAATGTGATTCTGAGTTTCTCCCATGATTTCCTTTTTTAAACTGCAGGATGAGATTGGGTGGCTCAAGAAATAAATATAGACAGAATCAGATTCAACAATAGGTGGTTGGGCAGAAAGATGCCTCTATAAAAGTCATCTGGGTTGTGGCCATGGGCCAAAAATAAATTCCTTTTGGCTGGGGCTGGGGGGGGCTGAGGGAGGCAGAGTTTACCAGCAAAAAAAGAAAGAAATACAGGTCCCCAAATACAGACAGGACTGCTGGAAAATGCAAACCAAAGCAACTTGAAAGGGCAAGTAACCAGTAATACTTCAGGAACGTAAAGAAGATTATGTCAGGTGTGGACTTTGTCCCCTCAGGCTAGCTCGTAAAGAAGATTATGTCAGGTGTGGACTTTTTCCCCTCAGGTTAGCTCGTAGTGTTTGCTGAATCTCTTTGATGTAAGTGTGATTAAGAGCTGCTTGCTCCTGGTTCGGGCAGAGACTGCACTTGCTTAACTGTACCTGGAGTGCAACAGCAAAACCAACAACCAGCACTACAAACCCAAAGGGTATGAAGTTACTGCTCCGTTCTTCACAGTACTGTTGACTAAGGAACTTTAAAAAGATGCCCTTTGTTCCCCTCACCCCAGTTCTTTGTTATGACAATTTTCAAAAATACAGAAAATAGATATGCCTTTGTTACACCATTTGACAAAGCTGCAGACATCAAAATACTTCACCTTTGAATACTTCAGCCTGCCCCTCTTAAGGACATAGCTTCAGAATCACAGTACCATTATCACACCTAAGAAAACAATTCCCTGGTACAATTTTAATATTCTGATCACATTTAAGCTTCTGATTGTCCCAGGAATGTCTTTTATAGCTGGGGGTGTTTGGTTGGTTTTTGTTTGTTTGTTTGTTTTTGAACTAGGATACTGTCTAGGCTGATGAATTATATTTATTATGCTTAAGAAGCTATTTGAAATGTTCACTAGGTAACTATTTTCTCTGTACATTATACAGATATGCTGAAGAGACAAATGTTCATGAGGTATTTTTCACTGAGAGCAGGTGCTTTAGCTGAGCACATTTGTGTCTACCAGGAAAGTCTAGGAAGAATGAAAAGTCTTTTAACATAGCATTGAGATTACAATTGAAGCTGCATTAAATAGTAATGTTTATGCTTTCCTACCTCCTGGAATACTACATAAATTTGATGGAGTGTGTTGCAATTTCTACTCAACCCGACTTCTAAAGTTTAATGATTGGGTTCTTTTCTAGACAATGAAAAGAAGCTGTTTTATAACAACTGACATCACTCCGGGCAAAACCTCTAGCTTGCCCTACTTCACTGTACAGAACGAAATGAGCATTGCATCATCTGCATTTTACTCCTGGTTTAATTTTAGATCCTGACCTGCTGAACTGGACTCTACTTGTCCTTCCTCTTTACGCCACCCCTAGGAAGTCAGGCACTCAGCAGCTAATGATAACTATTTGTCTTTGAAGTTGTTACTTAATTTTTAAATGTTAACACTGTAAAGAAGAGGTGCAAATAATTCCTTAAAAGTGGCTGGTGGCCAATGTAAAGTTTTTTCTGGAGACTAGAATTAAATAAGATTTTCATACTTCACAAAATATTAGGTGCTACTTAAACTCTTTCTGGGGAACCACAGTTAAAACAGTTTTAGTATAAGAGTGCTCATCTTTAAAATGAGTCCTGTAATCGGTACTGTTCTTTCTTCTCCTACCTCCAGGCCTAAAGGAACAGAGGACTAGAGGATGAGATGACTAGTTACTAGAGGATTTTAATTCAATGTGTATTTATAGCATTGCTACAGGAGTCTGGGTTCTTCTTGCCATGAAGTGAGGAATCAAAGGTCAGCAAGCTGATTAGTATGCAAGCGGGGTTTATTAGTGATATGTTCTCAGCGAAGAATGGGCCTAGCCGAGGTGAGAGAGAGAGAGAGGCCTCGCTGAAGTAGGAGACGGGGCAAGCCGAGGTGGAAGAGGGAGGCATAGGCCCCCAGTATTAGTAAACATTCTCTCATTCTCTTGGAGAGGAGAATGGGCCCAGCCGAGGTAGGAGGGAGAGACCTAGCTGAGGTGGTATCGGAACCAGCCGATAAGTCGAACAGTCTGAGGGAGGGGCGCGAGGATTAAGAAAAGAGACAGAAGAGAGAGTTACTGGGAGGACTCCAGTAAATACTGAAGCCCCGAGTTTATTTTCCACCACCATTATATACATTCAGGGTGAGTACA